TTATTCAACCCGGTAGTAGACGAACTCCTGGAACCCTCTTCAGGTACATTCCAGGTAATGCTGTGTGTGTTGCCTTGTGTATATCTGTACCACCGAGTCTAACTGGGAGCCTTGCTTGGTCACATTGGTCATCTCTCAGGGAGAGGTTTAACACTTTCATGGTTATTGCTTTCATGAGTTTGTCTAATTCTGTTGATTTTGGGCTATGGAAAAAGAAGCACACCTTAACAAATAGGTGTGCTCCTTCTTTTCATAAAAATGCTTTGTGCGTCCTCGCAAGGTGCCTGGGCAAAGTCAAGCACCTTGTGAGGAGGTACAGACTATCTTGTTCATCCAAAACTCCTATTCTTTCACCTATCTTCCTCGCCAAATGTCCAAGTGTCCATTCCTTTGGTGTCCAAGTGGTTGGACACCAAAGGAATGGTATCCAACCACTTGGGCTGGACGGCAGATCGACAGTCTCGCTTCATGCAGGTCGGCATTCAATACCCGACCATCCAAGTGGTTGGGTACCATTCCTTCCCCCAGTCCCATCCCAAATAATTATCCTGACCCCTTTTTAGTGCTATATAGTCCTAATGGCTTGGCGCTTTCCCTTGATCATTCCTTCCTTCCTTCCTCAGGTCGTTTAGCTTTTCCACGAGGATTACATCAATGATATTCGAGCCCAAAGGTCAGCACACTGTTGGTGAGGGCGACGACTGAGACTCATGGCAACACGGTTCTCACTGTATTTATGATAGCAGTCTCCGTGGTGTAGTGGTAAGACACTCGCCTGGCGTTCCGCGAGCGCTATGTCATGGGTTCGTATCCTGGCCGGGGAGGATTTACTGGGCGCAATTCCTTAACTGTAGCCTCTGTTTAACGCAACAGTAAAATGTGTACTTGGATGAAAAAACGATTCTTCGCGGCAGGGGATCGTATTCCAGGGACCGTAGGATTAAGGACTTGCCCGAAACGCTACGCGTACTAGTGACTGTACAAGAATGTAACAACTCTTGTATATATCTCAAAAAAAATGATTGGTTGGCTCAAATCATCTCATCTAGATGATATGATTTCGCTCTTTGATGGATTTAGGGCGAATTCTAACTCCTCTCCCTCAGATTTCACCAGCTGTAGATTCCCTAGAAGAGACTCCTGTGTCCCTGACAGGGTGCCATCGTCCAGGAACCAGTAGATGATGGGAGTAGACAAGTTAAACTTGTTCAAACTGCTTCCAGTACCACATCTCTTTTTTTACCTGGTTGAAAGTATTTTTAAAATCTACTTTAATTAGTGCTTTGTTTTCCGTAAGGTGATTATAGGTTCGTGTTGCGTGAGTTGCTGCTTCACAGCCATGGGGAACACTGGAGCCTAGTTGATCGAAACATCGTTGCAGCTTCCATGCGGATGTTTCTGACAGATATCCTGGCAACGAGGAGCCGAAGTGTGTTACCCATGGCAATGAGTCTGACTCCACCAGTCTTCACATCGCTTCGAGGAGTTATGGTAACAGTGACGGGTGGAGTAGTATACAGTACCGGAGTTATGGTAACAGTGACGGGTGGAGTAGTATACATCACCGATGAGTTATGGTAACAGTGACGGGTGGAGTAGTATACATCACCGATGAGTTATGGTAACAGTGACGGGTGGAGTAGTATACATCACCGATGAGTTATGGTAACAGTGACGGGTGGAGTAGTATACATCACCGATGAGTTATGGTAACAGTGACGGGTGGAGTAGTATACATCACCGATGAGTTATGGTAACAGTGACGGGTGGAGTAGTATACATCACCGATGAGTTATGGTAACAGTGACGGGTGGAGTAGTATACATCACCGATGAGTTATGGTAACAGTGACGGGTGGAGTAGTATACATCACCGATGAGTTATGGTAACAGTGACGGGTAGAGTAGTATACAACACCGATGAGTTATGGTAACAGTGACGGGTGGAGTAGTATACAACACCGATGAGTTATGGTAACAGTGACGGGTGCACCATAGAACACATTCACAATATACAAACTAAAAACAACATCGCACAGACCATATACACTGCCGGATCACTCAATACAGCTAAAGGGAGGGCAGGAAGTGCTGTTATTGCTCATCAGCCCGATGGCAGCACAATTCAAAGGAAGATAAGAATTAGTAACTGGGCATCCACAATGCAAGTTGAGTTGGCAGCAATACTGGTAAACATTCGAAATTATTGACAACATTGAAGTAGACTGCTTAATTATTTCCGACTCCCTTTCCTCACTACTAGCAATAAATAGTTTGCAATCAAGTAATAACGTGCTTGTCTCAAAAGCCAGATATAGATATATAAGCATACTTAACAAGGGGGTAAACAGAGCTATCAGGTGAAAGGAAACGTGTTAAAACTACAACACAACAAAGAAATAAAAGAACAAATAAATATGTACAATGTCAATTCACTTCATTAAAAATTGCTCTCCTATCCCACCCAGAACTCACCTTCAAATCACACTTGTCGACCTAAATGCCTTTGTACTGAAAACACTTGCATTCGACCTTGTTGTATTGGCCAGACGCTCAAGGCTCCAAACACTAATGCATATTCAGATGTCACGCATGCGATCCTCAGGTATTCACAAGAATTCAATGAACAAAGTTGAATTCCACGAGGTAATGGCCTAGACATAGTTCGCGAGAACATCTATTGACGTATCATGCTCGTGCTCTGCAATCGATAACAAATACATAACATAATTTATGTTAATTATCTTTCAAATTGTATGCAACTTAATGATTTTCTGCTTAATATTTAGTTATTTGTTGAGCCGTAGCTTTTATAATGGATCACTTAATGTCGGTAAAATTGAAACACTTACTAATTCTTCCAAGGGTTTTTATCAGTATCCCTTTATATATCACCATTCAAACTGTATGCTTAACTTTTTTAAATATGTCTAAAGCATTAAGCTTGATTTACTCTGCTGTACATATGTTCAATCTAGCTAACTATTTTTAAGGATTTGAATATGCTACTACGAATACAGTTCTATAATCTTAAATCTAATCTAAAGATTAAAAAGATATCAGTTAGCATAAAAAGGATTTTTAGGAAATATAAATGGTTGAATCATTTGTTGTATATATGCTATTGATACTATGGACTATTCAGAATTTAAAATTAAAATATATAATCATATGGGGTGGATTCTAAGGCTACCGAGCCGGTACGTCTAAGACTAAACGCTTCAGGAACCTCTGTGTCATTTAGATACAGACAATATAAATGACACGAGGTGGCGGTTGACTCCAATAAAACTGATCACACCTTATTATACGTAACTATTGTCATCCTAGACTATGATAACCTAAGCTAAGAATAATTTATCCTAACTTAACGAAGCATAACCTAGTCTATCTTAAGTTATCCTAAGGTTAATGTAGCCTAGCCTATCCAATAATAACCTACACTTAATTACTTAACCTGCCTACTAATTTAACCTAACCTAAATATGCTTAACCTATCCTATCCTCCCAGCTTAATCAAACCTAACATACTCTTGGCCTAACTTAACTCTAAAGAAAGAATGAGTCCCTAAATTGGCCTAACTTAACTCTAAAGAAAGAATGAGTCCCTAAACAATGTTTATTTGATATAAAACACTGTAACGCTATTGAGAGCCAAACCCCTACCACATCAGCAGGCAATACAAATTTCACTCACAGGATGAATATTGCCCTTAATCTCCAATCATAAGATGAATATTGATATTCCTCATGTGGGTAATCTACACCCACATGAGGAATATTGTCCTTAATATCCACCCACAGGATAAATATTACCCATACTCTCCACCCACAGGATGAATATGGCCCTTAACCTCCACCCACAGGATGAATATGGCCCTTAACCTCCACCCACAGGATGAATATTGCATTTAATCTCCACCCACAGGATGAATATCGCACTTAATCTCCACCCACAGGTTGAATATCGCACTTAACCTCCACCCACAGGATAAATATTACCCTTAATGTTGACCAGACCACACACTAGAAATTGAAGGGACGACGACGTTTCGGTCCGTCCTGGACCATTCTCAAGTCGATTGAGAATGGTCCAGGACGGACCGAAACGTCGTCGTCCCTTCAATTTCTAGTGTGTGGTCTGGTCAACATACTTCAGCCACGTTATTGTGACTCATCGCCTGCATTACCCTTAATCTCCACCCACAGGATCTTGAGATGATTTCGGGACTTAGCATCCCCGCGGCTCGGTCCTCGACCAGGCTTCCTTTTTGATACACATCCCCAGGAAGCAGCCCGTAGCAGCTGTCTAACTCCTAGGTACCTATTTACTGCTAGGTAACAGGGGCATTAGAGTGAAAAACATTTTGCCCAGTTGTCTCCGCCTCCACCGAGGATTGAACCCGGAACCTCAGGACTACGAATCCGAAGCGCTGTCCACCCAGCTTGTTCTTAACAAACTTCATCCACAAGACGGCCATTAGATCAGTATCAACTTATAAACAAAGTATAATAATTCGTAAATAGTAAGTGTATATAAGTACACACATTCGAAATGGATTCACATGGACATAAACTTCGTTGTGCACCCATTACTTAAGCTAATTAGCCTTCATTAAATCTTTCGGTGCGACCCAAGGACTACGACGAACGCAAAACCTCCTGGGAATAAAAGATGTCACAGGGAGTAAGGACACCGGTGGAGTTGGCACCTTTCCAACTGGAGCGGTGAAGATGTGGCACCATCGCAAGGGGGGGTACAAATATCACGCTACTAGCCAGTGTTTACATCAAAATATTCCACAACTATATATCCTGTTTTATGCTTATTAACGGAATTTACAGCAAAAGCATATATTTTGGGTCAATCTTCATTATATGACTGACCATTATTACTCATATTTGGGAATTACAAGTTCTCAGATAAAATATTGTTTCTGGTAAAATCGCGAACTTTAGCGCGGGAGAAACTTGACCCTCGCGAGAGCATTGTGTGAACGTGAGACAGTCAGCCAGTGATGGTAGTCTCGCTACAACCACGGTGAGAGGAAGGTCTGCTCTGGCTTCTCGCTTCCGCTGCCAAGGCAACACAAGCTCAGTATCATATATTAAACTTGTAGAAGAAGTCTGAAAGAACCATCGTCTGAACAGAGACTCCTCATCACGTTGTTACAGCTGACTTAGCGTCACATGTCAGGTGTGTCACACAGGCCACACCTACCTGACCACCAACGGCACCACCTACAAGTCGCTCACCACATCTAAATAAACTCTCAACTACCTCCACTATCGAGCTATATTCCTCGGGAGAGCCATTCCTCAGCTCAGGAACAAGACAGGCGAGGCTATCGATCAAGCCGTCAGTCAGTAGCGCCTGAAGAGGCCACCGTCAACTCCCCCTACAGAGTGGCTCGTCCATCACCCAACATAGACTCATGATGTGCGCATTCATGACACCAGTGCTGAAAAATGACTGGGAAATCTACAATACGAAGCGCTCCCGCAACAGTTCAGAGAGCTCTTCGGTAAGTAGCAGGAGTAGGGGCGGACCAGCAGTAAGTAGCAGGAGTAGGGGGCGGACCATCGGTAAGTAGCAGGAGTAGGGGCGGGGCGGACCATTGGTAAGCAGCAGCAGTAGGAACAGACCATCGGTAAGTAATGAGACAAGAGTACTGGAACCTTCGGTAATTAGCAGTATTAGTGGGAGCGATCCTAAAGAAAGCAATTGTGAGAGATAACCCCCATTACGTAGCAGCAGAAGTGGGTTGGTCCTTCGGTAAGTAGCAGCGGCTATGAGAACCTCAGTAAGCAACAGAGGGGAGCATACTAGCAAAGAGTTATTATATGGAGAGGGTGATACTTCCAAGTGTAGTTCTTCTTAATTAAGATGCATTCTGGGACAGGTCGCAGTGGTGTCTCGTGATCTCTAGTATTCTTAAAACTCGTTATTGATGACCTGAGGTCACCGATGGTGTCATATGGTCACTAACAGTCTTCTAAAATACATGTTACAGATTACCTGGGGTCACGTTTGAGATACTTGACACGTAAAAATGAATTAAGAAATAATAAGTACACTTAAATCCGCAAGGGCCGTAATGAGGGTTCGAATCTATGCCTGGGATGATCCCAGACGCGCCTTAATCAACTGTGTAATAAGTAAACTTGTTTTGAAGTGCAATGTTGAATGTGAAAAATAATTGTTTGCAAAAGCTTATGTTAGTAGGCGTATCTTTGTAGAAGCTGATGTCAATGGATGTAACTTTACAGAGGCTGATATCAGTGAGTAGCTGTTTTCAGAAGCTGATGTCAGTGGGTGTAGTTAGCTGGTGTCAGTGGTGTAATTGTTTATACTGTATATTGCTGTGTCAGTGGCAGTTGAGTGCCTTCATCAAGCTCTCTTGCCCATTAAGTCTTCATCTGCTTGACCATCAAGCTCTCTTTCCCATTAAGTATGCATCTGCCAACCCATCAAGTTTGCCTGCCCATCAAACCCACTTTTTCTGGGGGACAATGCCAAGTGTTTTAGCGAGAATGAAGATAAAATTAATGTCAACATGAGAACAGTGTTACAGGTTTTCAGTAATGTTACTGTGAGAACAGTGCAGGCCTACAGGCCTTCAGTAAGTCAGCATGAGAGCAGTGCAGGCCCACGCCTTAAATAATATCAGCTTGACAACAGTGCAGGCCAACAGGCTTTAAATAATGTCACCCCGAGATTGCAGACCTACAGGCCTTCAGTAATGTCAGCATGAGAACAATGCAGGCCCACAAGCTGTACATAATGCACCACATTACTGTAATTATTTTCTGTGTATATAGCTAAATTTTAATGTCCGTTAAAATGTGCTCAGCAAATGCAAAATAATTAGGCTTTCGATATCAACACATTATAGTAAGAGTAATAATACATTAATGACATAAAAACATTCTTTCCGTAAATCTTTACATAGCTGGCACAATGTCACAATGACCACTCGAGAGGAGATACATATTTATCTTGTCTGTATCAGGCGACCTTCATTCACCTGACACCTTCAATGAAAGATTATATTTTCCGGGCCACGAGTCATCGGGCATTTACGCGTTAACTTACGAAACCCGTAAATCATTCCTCAGTCACGAGGGCTTTGTTTACCTATTGTAAATAGTTCATGAGCCCGGATGGACTGCGAGGTTGCTTATAACAATAATAACCTTGGGTTGTGAAGTTTCCAAGCACGTAAACTGTTTAACAAATAAAGTCTTAAGTGTTATGATCAGGAATGATATACAGCTTTCGTAAGTGGAGACGAAAAGGCTGGATCAAACTTCAAACCCTGTGAACAATGCCAGAGGACAAGGGAAGACTAGGTGTAAGCTAAGCTGGAAGTTGTCAGACAATTTGAAGAAGTTCTCTCCTTCCCCCCCCCCCCCCCCTGCCTCTCTCTCTCTCTCTCTCTCTCTCTCTCTCTCTCTCTCTCTCTCTCTCTCTCTCTCTCTCTCTCTCTCTCTCTCTCTCTCTCTCTCTCTCTTTCTTTCTTTCTTTCTTTCTTTCTTTCTTCCATCCTTCCTCTCTCTCTCTCTCTCTCTCTCTCTCTCTCTCTCTCTCTCTCTCTCTCTCTCTCTCTCTCGCTTCCTTCCTCCCCGACGTGTCTGTTATGTAGCTCCTTAGAGACCTTAACTATGATCGTGTGCTCTTGAATGACCCGTCATGACATCAAACAGATTTTCGTATTAAACAAGCAAAAGAACGATAAACATTTCTTTTTTTTTTTTAATTTTACTCAGCTTTGGTATTTTAATTCAGTGAAGGGTTTGAGAGTAGTCAAGAGCTGAGAGCTGTGAACTACTAAGCTTAGGGGTCTGTGACTCCATTATAGGTGACACCTTCCTGACTGTCATAATTAGGATATCACAGATCAAATCATTCTAAAGATTAAAGATGACACGTTTTTAACTAGTTTTCAACCTGGAATAAGTACTCATAAGATAACCGATAATTTGAAAGTATTTTATTGATTATTTGGTGTAGTTTTCTATATTGATTACGTTGACATTATAAAACTGTCGTTATTACTCAGGTCTTTATCTGTTGATTTAGCAAAGTCATGGGGATTGATGCTCTGAAACTTCGCCTTGTTTATATATAGAAAGCTGGGGCCACTGGGGTGAGTCAGGTAGCACACGAGAAGGGTGAGAGTACAGGTTGCGAGGGAGAGAATTATCAAGGGGAGAGCACCATTACGACTGTATAGCACTTTGAAGGGGGTCTGGATAAGGATTTGAGATGGGTCGGGGGGAAAGAATGGTGTACAACAACTTGGATGGTCGGGGATTGAGCGCCGACCTGCATGAAGCGAGGTACAGGTTGCAAGTTGCTGGTTAATAATAGCTAAAAGTTGCGAGAGTGGCTGTGTGGATTGTCTGTTACTTATGGCAGATTGCTACAAGGGACGAATCTCCCAACACCGAGCATTCGTGTGTAAACACTGTGAGCAAGAACTGGGTCATGCATGACCTTACACACAATATTATCGCGTGTCCAGTTATTAGACCCTTCAGACCTGCCGGTATGAGGTACAAGGAGCTTTGTAATTTAATCACTCAAGTGTTCTTGTTGATATCTTCATACTGTATCCAAAGGTTGCAAGCTCAGGCTACTGATCACATGCCCTCTTATAACTAACCGAGGAAACCCTTCCTCCTAATAGAACGTCGCATTTTGACGTACAGTATACTCTACCGTAGGCCAAAAATCGTCGTACTAGAAAATGGTAGCGGCTCGCGAAACAGACATTCTGTCCCGTTTTCTGTTTTGGGTCCTTTGGTAGGTTAGGATAAGGGCACTTTAGTACGACAGTTTATTGACGTTGGGAAACAGGAGGACGGGCTGCCTGATGAAGGGGATTTCTTAGCATCAGGTAGCTCTGACTCACTATATAACCCTTCGTCTCGTCTAGGGTAGCTGTATAAATGCATATGTACTTAATTATGTTAATAAAAAAGTGAATTAGCTTTTAAGAAACGAGCGTTTCATTAAATGTTTGGTGGAGACTTCCCGCTTTGAGTCCTCGATTATTATTATTACACTGTATATTGAGTAGCAGCCAGCCATCGTTGTTCACTGTATTAATAAGCAGCTGCCACCCACCGTAGTTCACAAGGAATTGAGCAGCATCGTAGTTTACACTGTATTGAATAGTTATGAGCAATCGTCGTTCTCAGTGAATTTTAGCACAGTTAATTCATTGTGTCGGGGGACAGGAAGCCAGAGTGTATTCATACACATTTGACTTTTATCAACGTTCCCCCCCCCCCCCCCCCCCCCCACCCCCTCGCCCCCTACAGGGCCCCCTACAGACCCCGCCCATGAGGCAACCCCACAACAAACTGACTAACTCCTGAGTGCCTTCTTACTGCTAAGTGAAAAGCGGTGAAATGTGCCCAACCATTTCTGTCCCGCCTGGGATTCGAACCCGGAACTCTCGATTGATAACGTCTACCAATATGAAAGACAAAAGAGGAACTGCCATTAAATTAAAATGATTGGTTTATTAAGGGGCACAAGTCAAGGAACGAGTGTGGAACTCGTCTTAAACCAACAAACACCAACGGAAAGAAGTGTACCAGAGTGAGCTTCAGGTCATGTAGTACAAACACGCAGGCGTCATATTCGCGTAACGTTGCCAAGTAGCGATACGATAGCATTCGATATAGAAACTAACATGCTTTACAAAATATGAGAAACCGGACAGACTTGGCAAGTTTACCTTGAAAATCCCGTTTGGAGGCAAAACCGGGAAGGGGAAGCATGGAGTTATAAACTGAAGCTTGGCGAGCGTTGCCAAGCGGAGGTGCCAAGACCAGTCTTGTCCGGGGGAAGGTGGGCGGGTATCGCGTTCTTGCAAGCGGTTATGACTGGTCACAGTCAGGTGTTTGTCCTGGCTAAGGTTGTTGGGGGTTGTCACAGTCAGGTGTTTGTCCTGGCTAAGGTTGTTGGGGGTTGTCACAGTCAGGTGTTTGTCCTGGCTAAGGTTGATGGGGTTGTCTCAGTCAGATGTTTATTCAAGTTAAGCTTGATGGGGTTATCATCATACTCATAACAAAATAGATGAAGATTTGTGTAGGTTAGGCTTCTGAGGAATGCTGAATTGAGATAGGAAAATGTTATATAAATACAATTTCGAAATTGTCTTGGCTGGTTTGAAATATGAAATATTTGGACATATATAAGAATTCAAATTGGTCTGTGTAATACTGTAGACCCCCCCCCCCCCACCTGCATACGTTTGGTGGGACTACCCCCTCACTACCCTCCTCTTCCTCATTACCCTCTCCCCCATCTTTCTCACTACCTTCTCCCTCTGTCTTCCTCACTATCATTTCCCTCTTTCTCTCTTCCTCACTACTCTCTCCCTTTCTCTACCCTCTCTGTCTTTTCTTACTACCCTCTACCTCTCTTCCTCTATGAGGAAGAGAGCTATATAGTCGCCAATGCGACTATATAGCTCTTGGAATAGCTCACGATAAGGATTTGGGTTGGGACAGAGGGAAGGTTAGACGATGAGATTACACTGTACATCTGTCAGGGTACAATTTGTCATCCAAAATTGAGAGCACTTATAGTTGCTATGGATGGTTGTCCAACAAATGGACTGTCGCACCCAAATAGTCCACAGTTTGAATGACTACTTTTAAAGAGGAGCCAAGAAAAAGACTAACACTCAAATCTTACTATTCCTAGGCCTATCATTGTCATATATTTTGTTATGCTTTTTAGTGTTTCAATAATAAAAGATGTGAACTTTTTTGATGTACAGTTTTCATATGTTGTACATTCAGTACATAGTAGCTATAGGTTCTAAAAAAAATTGTGGCTTGGGTATTGGGTTGCTCTTAGCCATATACACATTGTCTATCTAGTTTAGTTTACAAGGTGTAACTGTAGGCCTTTCCTGTAAAACATAAAATAGTAATATTTAAGTCAGGAGAGTCCCATGTTTACTAGGTCAGCTGTGGGATTTGTTTACTTAAAGGGTATAGAATTTGTGCTTGATTCCTTGCTCTTATTGTATCTTGTTTATTTATTTTTGTGGTCTTAAGTCTAGTCTTTTATAAATTTCCTGAAAATATTTATAAAAACTGAAGTTCAGTTTCTACACATAAAATATTCTCTTCTCATCCAACATCTGATTTTTTTCTATTAAGAAGCAATTGATGGTAGAACATCCTTAATTAAACACTTGATAGCAGAATATCCTTAAACGCTTGATAGTAGAACATCCTGAAACACTTGATAGTAGAACATTCTTAAACACTTGATAGTGGAACATCCTTAAACCTATATTATGACGCCCCATCCCCGTCCCTCCCCGAAAAATGCATGTAGTTTGACATTTACCATCACTCGTTAACTTTCTTCCCTCCTTATCTTCAGGTATCTGCCCCATCTAACCAGCGATCACGCCCGACCCACGTACGAAAACGAGGAATAGGTGAGACTGGACGTAGCTTTTCGTACCACGCCCCATCACATGGCCGCAGCGATATGATGTACGTTGGGTCTCCACCCAGAGCTTTCCACATGTCAACTAAGAATTCCAGATATGCTTCAAGGACCTCTATGGACCCAAATTCTCCTGGTGAGTATTGATTTTACCTTTTTAGATGTAAAATGTATGCTGATTCAGAAGAGAAAGAGTAGAGCAACATTTATATAGTTATACAGCTCTCATAGAATACATATAAAATTTCAACACCATGACGCATCTTTTCCCCTCAATATAATTTTTTTAGGTACACAAAGGAAAATGATAATATAGACCCTAGCTCAAGTGTAGTCTATAACAGGTTGTCTTAATTATTATCCCACATCACTAAACATTGGACTGTACAGTATTATATATGCTCACAGAGTGATAGTTGTCCATGTTTTCTAGTGCTTGCAACTTATGTTGATTTTTTTTATTAAATGACGTGTTCTAAATTTGTTAAAAGTGCATAATAACAGTAAGCATTTATTTCACTTTTAAGGGACCACAAGCCCACCAAAGAGCCCATTGGCCACAACGACAAATGGCCCTTCAAAGAGCCCATCATCTGGATCTCTCACAAAATTCCACAATAAGGTAGGTGTGCTAGTACAGTATATGCAATATAATTCAGGCTGATGGAAAAAATACAAAACTAATATTTCTGCTGTACTGTTCAGTTTATTAATTCACTTTAATTATAATAAAGTGTGCAACAGAAGTCCACATAAATATATCTTTGCTACAGGTGATGGACAAATTGAAAACTGTTCTCCACCTGAAAGATGACAATAATCATCATGACGAGGAGCAGAAAGATTCCAGGGGCCAGTCGTGAAAAGGGAGGAAGATAAAGCAACAGGAAACCCAGATTGTAAACCAAACTGGAGAGGGCAAGTAAGTGAGGCCAGCTGAATAGAGGTGACCCAAGGGATATTGTCTCGAGGGTATGTAAGTGAAAACAGTAATGTAGAAGGAATCCAAGGTATCTTGTCTCAAGAAGAGACAAGGAATGTATTATGAACCCCAAGAGCTCTCGCTTCGAGGGTATGTAAGTGAGACCAGTAATGTAGAAGGGACCCAAAGGCTCATGCCTCGAGGGTGTGTAAGTCAGACCAGTAATTTAGAAGGGACCCAAGGGCTCATGCCTCGAGGGTGTATAAGTCAGACCAGTAATGTAGAAGGGACCCAAGGGCTCATGCCTCGAGGGTGTATAAATGAGACCAGTAATGTAGAAGGGACCCAAGGGCTCTTGCCTCAAGGGGTATATAAGAGCGACCAGTAATGTTGAAAGGACCCAAAGGCTCATGCCTCGAGGGTATATAAGTGAGACCAGTAGTGTAGAAGGGACCCAAGGGCTCATTCCTCGAGGGTATTTAAGTGAGCCTAGTAATGTTTAAGGGACCCATGACCCATGAATAGCCTCGAGGCTATTCAAGCAAGACCGATCATGTAGGAAGGACCCAAGGACTCGCGTCTAAAGGGCAAGTAAGACCAGTAGATGTAGTAGGAGCCTAAGGTCTACCTCAATAAGGAATTGATTTGCAAGAGAATATTAAAGTACAGGAATAAACATAAAATTAAACGGCAGTGTGTAGGCATGGAATATAAATGTTATGCCTTACAAGAATTTGAAATGATGCACACACGTACTTAGCTAGTTTTTTGTGTGATTAAAAAAATTGTGAAGGCTATTTATGTACAATATGTTAAATGGAGAAATTGTAGAATATTTATGACTATGATGTAATGAATTGCTTTACAGTATTTACTTAAATTGGATTGATGAAAAACAAAACAAAAAGGTGACTGGAATAATCTTGTGTAAATGTAGTCAATAACTTAACATTTTAAAATACCCAAAAGTTCACATTACTGGTGAAAAGTATTATTCACAGAGGTATTTTACTAACTTCTGCTACTAATGAATAACAGTCTTCTTGTTCGTTTAAATTTATATGATTATTTATTTCTTGGGGATGTTTAGAATCGGCTGTGTTGGAATATTATTTTGATTCAGTTTATAATTCACAAGCTCTCTTAAGAAGAAATAAGCAAGGGTTTATGATCATGTTGCCAGTACTGTAATGCAGCATTCTTGTACTGTACTCTGATATAGGTACAGTAAAAAAAATGAAATATAGCAAAATTATATATAATTATATAAGATATATTTTTAATATTTGATAAAATAAGTGTTCTTAGTTGTGTAATGATATATTAGCTCCCTAATTAATATTTACTATAATGTAATTCAATTTTTTTTTTTTTTTTTTTTTTTCAATATCTTGTTTTTGGTGACTACCTGTATGTGTAGGGTTTTGGCTAGTTGTTTGTCATAGCCTATGAATGAAGAACGTGTTTCAATATGGTTGAAATTAGGCAATATACTTTAAAACTTTAACTGGTAATTGGTTCCATGTATCATATTATGCAATTTGTTTAGAATTATTATGACAAAATCTATTTTAAATTACTGTATCTATAAATAAAATAGATGCTAATAATGCCTCTGTGCCATGTTGGCAGCATTTGTACCTGCTAAAACTGTGTAATTTTGTATACTATGCAATGGCCTCATCTGAGATAGGTGCAACAGTATATATATATATATATATATATATATATATATATATATATATATATATATATATATATATATATATATATATATATATATATATATAATATATATATATACTGTATATATATAGTCTCGAATACACACACGCACACACTCAGTATATATAATCAATGGCTCATCAATAAATGCAAGCATTTGCTTGTGAAATGCATTTTGTTATTTTTTCTTTGTGATGAACAGTGTAGAGATCATATTATATTATGTGTTTCACAGGGATATACAAAACTGTGTTTGAATCAATTTCTCCAAGTGGATTTCATCATTTAGTGCAAGGGCTTCATGCTAATTTGTTAACAATATTGATATATGGGCCTTGTATTTCATGCCAAATCTAGAAGTTACTTATTGCCACAATGGTCCTAATAATTTATCCTTGGACTAATATTTCTACTTTGATAACAAATATTCATTGAGACTTAAATCATTTAATAAAATTGAGCTCATATTTCATTTAAACTCTTCAGTTAGAGATACATTTTCAGAAGTTGAGAAAGTCTATTACAGTGTACAAATATTAATTCAGTAAATGAAAACACAAATTTGATGCAAAATTATTTTAATATGATTACCTTAAATTTAATAATTCCCTGCTTTTATGTGTTTATTTAGCTTTGTAAACAAAATTATAATATAGTTTCAATGTTGAAGAAGGATGAAGAGTTGAGGAAATAAGATGTGCAGTTTAAACAGGTAGATGGTGGCTACCCAAATTATTGCTCAAATATGTTTTATTAATATATATATATATATATATATATATATATATATATATATATATATATATATATATATATATATATATATATATATATATATATATATATATATATTTGTTTTTATTTACATGTGATTGCCTGATTTAGATCTGTTCTATAAGTACAAAAGAATTTAAATAATATTTTGAATGCATAATGGCTGCTAGAATTGTGAGAAAGCTGTTGGTGTAAGTCACTCGGTGAAGGCTTTTCCTCCCCTTGGAACTCTCTGAAGGCTGTGGAAGGTGATAATGTATTCTATTAGGGTGTCGAGTCAAAATTACTAATTAATTTGAACAGTAAAGCATGTGTAGGAGATAAGAATATATTATAAAGATGCTTTGTATTACTATGCTTGCTGTGCTTGCACCGTATCTCCATGGGAAAATGTCAGAATGGATGTATATGCTCCTTACGTCAACAGTATACTACTGTGTTATGGCTTTGGTGAAAGGTAGGAAACCCCCAAGTCTTGTTGCCTCTGTCTGTGTTGTATGGTTGCATTTGTCAGTCTAAGATAAGATTGAGTCAAAATGTTAAGTCCCGAGTATTTTTGTTCTCTCCAGAATGGTTGACTTCAAAAGATTCTCAATGTCATTGAGACCGGTGCTAATTTAAATTATATAGAATACAAAAGTTATATTTACAGGTAATTCCTTCCTATAGAGCTAGAGAGTAATATTATTCATAATTATAATGGCAGATTATGTATATTTGGTTTCTAAAGTGCAGTTATTTTATTATTTAGATTACCTGCACGACTACACTTGTGTGTTCAATCAGTGCCAGACATCAGTAGATGTAGGAATTATTTTTTAAGACCGAGTTCAAACCAAAACTTCGATTTTCTACAGTGCCAACAAGTGTTGAAAATCACACATATGTTCACAACAGTTTTATACTTTTGAGAGATAGAAATTAGATTTTCACTTTAGTAACCAAACATGTGTAGCTACATAACCATATTTGTATATATTGTCAGCATTTTTGTATAGGTAAATGGTTCATCAAATTATAATGTAAAGATCTATTTATTCCAGAATAAATTCTGGGAATCCGTATAAAATAAAGCCTATGTTATGTCAATTTCTTTCATTTAAATTTTCCCTTATAATTAAGGAACATATATTTTATTGAAAATGCTGCTAAAGCATTTAAATATTCTCAAAGTACAAAATATAATAATATAATAAAACGGCATTTTAACCTGTGCTTGAAACAATCAAGTGCACCCGTGTCTATTGTGTTATCTGACCTGATATATAAATCAACAACCCTGGTTCCAAACCAGTATTTACCCATGTCTTTCCTATATATAAACTTATTAGTCAATAATGTTGCCTAAGGATCATGTTTTGCAACTGAACAATCCTTGCCTTCTCCGCATACAAAACCTATGTGCGGGACTCTTGGATGAACCTTGCCGACGAGCAGACATCTGGACCTGTCTGGGGGCTACAGGATCACATTCCGTTACTCGATTTTAAGAACATAAGAATTAAAGTAACTGCAGAAGGCCTATTGTCCCATATGAGGCAGCTTCTATTTATATCCACCCAATCTCCTTCATATACAGGTATATGTCTAACCTACGCTTGAAACAATCAAGGGATCCTACTTTTATTTTGTTATGTGGTAATTGGCTCCACAAATCAACAACTCTGTTACCAAAGCAGTATTTACCCAGGCCTTTCCTAAATCTAAACTTATCCAATTTATACCCATTGTTTGGTGTTCTGTCTTGTGTTGATACTTTTAATACCCTACTAATATCCCATTTGTTATGTCTATTTATCCACTTGCCTGTCAATCTTTTGACCATTTCAAAACCCTATTTAGATCGTCTTGAAGTGATAGTTAGTCTTTTTCCTTGTTTATTTCCCTCCCGATTTTAGTATCAACGGCAAATTTGCAAATATTGCTGCTCAAACCTGAATCTAAATCATTTATATATATTATGATTAACAGAGGTCCCAGGACAGAGCCTTGAGGCACTCTACTTACATTTTCCCACTCTGACTTAACCCCATTTATACTAACTCTTTGTTTCCTTTAGTATGGCCATGCCCTAATCCAACTTCATATAGCACCCCCAATACCGTGAGCCTCTATCTTTTTAATCAATCTTTCATGTGGCACTGCATCAAAAGCTATGCTAAAGTCTAGGTACACAACATCACAAACTTTACCACTATCAACTGCCTCAACTATGCTCGAATAAAATGATAGTAAATTTATTAAACATGAATGGCCATTTGTAAACCCATGTTGCAATCATTTATTAATATACTAGCTATACCCGGCCACACGGTGCTGCTCGCAGCAACGCATGTGCATTGCTGAGCCACAGCAACCTTTCCCTGTCTTCAGTCCTACCCACCATTCCACCATTCCCGTCCCCTCGCCCTCCCAACCATTCCTCACTCCCCCGTCCCTCGTCCTCCCCTCCATCCCCCCCTCCCCCATCCCTTTGTTCTCTCCACATCCCCCACTCACACGTCCCCTAGTCCTCCTAACCATTCCCCACTCCACCGTCCCCTTGTCCTCCCCACCACCTCCCACTCCCCCATCCCCTCGTCCTCCCTACCATTCCGCCCTTCCCCGTCCCCTCGTCCTCCCTGCCATCCCCCCACTCCCCTGTCCCCTCGTCCCCACCATCCCCAACTCCCCCATCCCCTCGTCCTCCCCACCATTCCCCACTCCCTTGTCTGGTGCATTCCCAAATGACCTGATGTACCCATCAGAAAATTGGGAACATCAAATGATCTGATGTTCCCATTGCTGAAATGTAAGAAAAACAGTTAAAAAATGAAATGAAAAAATGAAAACTAAAACAATAAACTATACTCGCAAAATGAACGGCATGGTAAACAACACAACTCAATTCCAATGAAATGTCACACAAAATAATTAAATCAAAATGAAAATAAATCAAAATCTATGAAAATTCAATTTATCAATGAAATTGGAAACATTGAAATGGAATTGTAACATATTTAGTATAGAGTGTGTTACTCTTATGTGCAACAGATGGCACTGTTTTCAAAAAAGCATGTTTTTACCTGTCACAGGTATGGCATCTATACTTATACTCACGAAACGAACAGTACGGTAAACAACACAGCTCAATTCCAATGCAATGTCACAGAAAATCATTGAATTAAAATTAAAATAAATCGAAATCTATGAAAATACAATTTGTCAATGCAATTGGAAACATTGAAATGGAATCGTAACATATTTAGTATAGTGTGTGTTGCTCTTACAGGCAAAAGATGGTACTGTTTCTTAAAAAATGAATGTTTTTACCTGTCACAGGTGTGGCATCTATACTTATTTTTATTTTTATTTTATTTTATTTTTATTTATATATATACAAGAAAGTACATTGGGTTTGTGAGAATACATTGGATAGTACAGTATATACATTCTTGTAAAGCCACTAGTACGCACAGCGTTTAGTGCAGAAACGAATTGTATTATCCTTACGAAATGAATGGTATGGTAAATAACACAACGCAATGTAACACAAAATAATTAAATCAAAATGAAAATATATCAAAATCTATGAAAAATCAATTTATCAATGCAATCGGAAATATTGAAATGGAATCGTATCATGTTTAGGATAGCATGTGATGATATTAAGAAGAATGTCTTTACCTTTCAAAGGTGTGGCATTTATATAGTAGGTATATAAAAATGCGCGTATTCGAATGGAACGTTGTGTCAAAATTTCAAGCAATTGCTAAAGAGGTTTTGAAGAATTCCCCTCTCATGAAAAACACATGAAAAAAAAGTTGTTCAAAAACAAGAATGTTTTTTCCCGGTCGTAGACGTGACATCTATATAGTATGTATATGAAACCCGCTCGGATGCAAATGGAACGTTGTGTGAAAATTTAAAGCAATCGGTGAAGAACTTTCGGGGATTAGCGATTTTGAACAAACTATCATTTACATTTTTATTTATATATAGATTTTTTAAGATGAAGACGAATGGCATTTGCAATTATCTATTCAAGGAACTTTCCCACAATAGACATTAGGCTAATTGGCCAATAGTTTGATGCAAATGATCTATCTCCTTTCTTAAAAATTGTTCCACATTAGCAACCTTCTACGATTCTGGCACTCTGCCTGACTCTAATGATTTGTTAAATATCGTAGACAATGGCTCACAAGGTCACTTCGTCCGGCCCTGGGGATTTGTTTGACTTGAGTTTCACTATTTGTTTAATAACATCCTCCCTGGTAACTGCTAAAGTAGTCAACCTGTCCTCTTCCCCACCCACATAGACTTGTTTGGTTGAAGGCATAATCTTAAGTTCCTCTTTAATATATACAGAGATAAAATCTTCATGAAAAATACTACTCATCTCTTCGTCATTATCAGTTATCTGACCTGTCTCAGTTTTTAATGGACCTATCCTTTCCCTAATCTTTGTTCAATATAACTGAAAAAAAACTTTTAGGATCTAAAGGTTTAAAGAACATGTCTTTGCTTGCCATACTATGCATACTTCACAGTTTCTTTTGGCCCCCCTTATCTCCTTTTTAACATTTCTAACCAGTTGGACGAATTCTAGTTCTAAACTGACTTCCCCATTCTTAATCCTATTGTACCAAGCTCTTTTTCTACCTATAAGGTTCTTCAGATCCTTTGTTATCCATTTCGAGTCATTAGTAATCGATCTATTCAGTTGATATGGTTCCTAAGTTCCTGTGTATTGCTTAGAATATTTTTAAATTATTTATATTTTGAATCCACATCGAAATCCCTTTTAACGTCACCCATCGCTAGGGTCACGTCTCGCTCCAAGACCGGGCCACATCGGGGTCTGGTAGCTGAATGAACAGCACGCGGAACTCGTAATCCTCTGGTGTGTGTGTGTGTAAAAGTGTGAAAAAATTAGTTAGTAGTTAGTAACAGTTGGTTAATTGACAGTTGAGAGGCGGGCCGAAAGAGCAGAGCTCAACCCCCACAAGCACAACTCGGTAAATACAACTAGGTGAATACCCCCATGCCCAGAACTTTCCAATCTGTTTCACCCAAAAAATTCCTTAGGCCATTAAAATCAGCTTTTCGGAAATCTGGCACTTTAATAGAATTTTCTTCTACAAGTCTATTGGATTCTATGCTAAATGTGATTTCTTTGTGATCACTGTTCCCTATCTCACTCCCTATTTCGATATCATTAATTTGTGTCTCTCTGTTAGTTAACACTAAGTCTAAAATATTATTTTCCCGTGTTGGTTCCTTAATGTGTTGCTTATGAAATCAATCATCAATTAATTTTAGAAAATCTTCTGCTTTATTATTCCCTGTTCTGTTAAGCCTGTCTATTCTACTAAAATTAAAGTCACCCATGACACAAATACTGTTAGACCTAGATGTTCTAGATATTTCATCCCATTGATGCTTTGCTTCCATTCTGTCAAAGTTTGGTAGCCTGCATATAACTCCTATTATAAGTTATTTTTTTATAAGATGTTTTTGTTTAATTCTAACCAAATAGTTCCTGTGTGTGGCTCAATTTTGATTCCCTCTTTGAGACTACATTTCACAATTTCCCTAATATATATGGCTACTACCCTTCCTCGTCTAATATATCTATCTGTGTGAAATAGTTTAAATCCGTTTATTTGATATTCGGATAATAATTCTCTCTTTTCTACATTCATCCATGTTTCGGTAAGTGCAATAATATCTATTGTTTCTGTGCAGACAAGAGCATTTAACTCGTTTATTTTGTTTCTCAGACTCCTACTGTTTGTGTAATATACCTTAAGTGTATTGCTATTTTGAGGCCCTTCTCTTTCCCTGTTCATTTTGCAAGTTTTATTTCCCAACTAACACACACTTTTATTGCCTCCTTTCTCCATATTAATTCCCATACCACTATCTACTAACAGTTTTTTTCTATTTCAACAGGTTGAAAGCAGCCCCATTTCTGTTTGATCACTCTGAAAACTGAGCCAGTTTGGGAATACAAAATAAATACAATTCACTATCCTAAGAAGAAAACAAAAATTTCCTAGTGGCTAGTTAGTTCTTTATTTTAGGGAATCAGAACGTTAAAGAAATCCCACAGTGGAGGCTGACTCCATACACAGTTTCAAATGTAGGTATGATAGAACTCGAGAAGCTCAGGAATCTGTTGAGATGCGGGGCCAAAGAGCAGATCGAAGCAAGCACAACTAGGTGAGGACACTCTTACCAACTTCAGAATTGCTTTTAGTTACATGGATGGTAAAATACTACAACAACGGTTCATGACTTTTGTGAAACCAAAATTGGAATATGTATCAGTTGTATGGTGCTCACGTCTCAAGAGGCACATCAATAAATTAGAAAAGGTGCAAGGGGCATGCTACAAAATGGCTTCCGGAACTGAAAAACAAAAGTTATGAAGAAGAGGCTAGAAACGTTATATATGCCAAAGCTAGAAGATAGAAGAAAATGATGCGATATGATTCCTGAAACCGGCAACCTCAAGCTCAAAAGGTCATTGAATCAAATGAAGGAAAAAAAGGTGCCTAAAAAAATGTTAGAAAGTTTTCTTTTGCCAAGAGAGTGGACGACGGCTGGACCCGGCCAAGTGAGAAGGTGGTGGAGGCCAAAACCGTCAATTGTTTCAGAGCATCACATGGCGAAGATTGCTGGCAAGACAAGACACTACGAGCCTATCTCTCATCCTGTAACTACACTTACTCCTGTCGTTAGAGGATAAGACTGGTAACAACACGTAATTACACTTAGATAATTACACACACACACACACTGGGAAAGGAGTTGTTTGGTGTGAGTGTAGGTTCAGTGTCGAAGATAACAGCTACTAGGTGCTCACTGTACTGATAAAGGGTTGGTGGGGTAGAAATTCCAGCCTTTATCATTACCACCGTTGTTGCTATGACCACCTGGACCCCCTCAGTGGCGACACCTCCTGCAGGGGTCGCACATAGTAACACCTCCCACCCGTGTCACCACAGTGGAAGCCACGGGGGACCCAAGGGGATGATAGAGGAAGTCAGAAGGTTCCAGAGGAAGCCAGGTGAACCCACGGGGAGCGAAATGGAGCCAGGGGAAATCCAGGGGAACCAGGGGGAGTCAGGGGAGGGAGACGGGACAACGGGGCTGTTTTAGACTCCAAATGTCACTGTGAAACTGACTAGATACTCATATGAGCGTGAATATATGACTCACCTATGTGTCATATAGGTGTGAGTGTGGCACAAGTGGGCGTGGGCGTGGCATGGGTGGGTGAGGCATGGGTGGGCGTGGGTGTGGGTGTGGCATGTGCGGGTGTGGCATGGGTGGGTGTGGCATGGTAAGGTGCTATAGGGCTGGAGGTGGGTGTGAAAGGCGGCAGAAGTGATCGTATTGGCTGATGTTGGTGTTGGCTGCCAGCCTCGAGATTATTGCCAGTGTGAGTCATCTTATCCCTCCCTCTCACGACCCTTCTCCTTCCTTGTGTTGCTCCTTCTTCCTTGTGTTGCTCCTCCTTCCTTGTGTTGCTCCTTCTTCCTTGTGTTGCTCCTCCTTCCTTGTGTTGCTCCTCCTTCCTTGTGTTGCTCCTCCTTCCTTGTGGTGCTCCTCCTTCCTTGTGTTGCTCCTCCTTCCTTGTGGTGCTCGTCCTCCTTCCTTGTGGTGCTCCTCCTTCCTTGTGGTGCTCCTTCCTTGTGGTGCTCCTCCTTCCTTGTGGTGCTCCTCCTTCCTTGTGGTGCTCCTCCTTCCTTGTGTTGCTCCTCCTTCCTTGTGGTGCTCCTCCTTCCTTGTGTTGCTCCTCCTTCCTTGTGGTGCTCCTCCTTCCTTGTGTTGCTCTTCCTTCCTTGTGGTGCTCCTCCTTCCTTGTGTTGCTCCTCCTTCCTTGTGTTGCTCCTTCTTCCTTGTGTGCTCGTCCTCCTTCCTTGTGGTGCTCCTCCTTCCTTGTGTTGCTCCTCCTTCCTTGTGGTGCTCCTCCTTCCTTGTGTTGCTCTTCCTTCCTTGTGGTGCTCCTCCTTCCTTGTGTTGCTCCTCCTTCCTTGTGTTGCTCCTTCTTCCTTGTGGTGCTCCTCCTTCCTTGTGGTGCTCCTCCATCCTTGTGTTGCTCTTCCTTCCTTGTGGTGCTCCTCCTTCCTTGTGTTGCTCCTCCTTCCTTGTGTTGCTCCTTCTTCCTTGTGTTGCTCCTCCTTCCTTGTGGTGCTCCTCCTTCCTTGTGTTGCTCTTCCTTCCTTGTGGTGCTCCTCCTTCCTTGTGGTGCTCCTCCTTCCTTGTGTTGCTCCTCCTTCCTTGTGGTGCTCCTCCTTCCTTGTGTTGCTCCTCCTTCCTTGTGGTGCTCGTCCTCCTTCCTTGTGGTGCTCCTCCTTCCTTGTGTTGCTCCTCCTTCCTTGTGGTGCTCCTCCTTCCTTGTGTTGCTCCTCCTTCCTTGTGGTGCTCCTCCTTCCTTGTGTTGCTCCTCCTTCCTTGTGGTGCTCGTCCTCCTTCCTTGTGGTGCTCCTCCTTCCTTGTGTTGCTCCTCCTTCCTTGTGGTGCTCCTCCTTCCTTGTGTTGCTCCTTCTTCCTTGTGGTGCTCCTCCTTCCTTTTGGTGCTCCTCCTTCCTTGTGATGCTCCTCCTTCCTTGTGGTGCTCGTCCTCCTTCCTAGTGTTGCTGCCTCTTCCAGCTGCTGTAACAGTGCACAAGGATCACGGTGGACCCGATGAACCGCCTCCCTGCAACATGAGAGCATGACATGCAATGCTTCTGTATATCTGCGTCAGAGTGAGACGCACTCAAGGTGCCCAAAGACACACTCAAGGTGCCCAAAGACACACTCAAGGTGCCCAAAGACACACTCAAGGTGCCCAAAGACACACTCAAGGTGCCCAAAGACACACTCAAGGTGCCCAGACACACTCAAGGTGCCCAAAGACACACTCAAGGTGCCCAAAGACACACTCAAGGTGGCCAAAGACACACTCAAGGTGCCCAAAGACACACTCAAGGTGCCCAAAGACATTCTCAAGGTGCCCAATGACACACTTAAGGTGCCCAAAGACACACTCAAGGTGCCCAAAGACACACTCAAGGTGCCCAAAGACACACTCAAGGTGCCCAAAGACACACTCAAGGTGCCCAAAGACACACTCAAGGTGCCCAAAGACACACTCAAGGTGCCCAAAGACACACTCAAGGTACCCAAAGACACACTCAAGGTGCCCAAAGACACACTCAAGGTGCCCAAAGACACACTCAAGGTACCCAAAGACACACTCAAGGTGCCCAAAGACACACTCAAGGTGCCCAAAGACACACTCAAGGTGCCCAAAGACACACTCAAGGTGCCCAAAGACACACTCAAGGTACCCAAAGACACACTCAAGGTGCCCAAAGACACACTCAAAGGTGCCCAATGACACACTCAAGATACTCAAAGAAATCACACAGACGTGATGCATCAGTGTGACAATCACTAGGAGCCGTGGGGAGGATTCGAACGCATGCGCTGGGTACTCCTAAGCCACGCCCTAGACCACTACGCCACGACACGTACAAAGGGCATCGGCAACTTGGGATTCAACTGAATCCTTTAGGGGTTATTGAGGCTTCCACCGAAGTCAAATAAGGGCTTGGCACAGTGCCTCCAGGCGCTCTGGCTTGTACTCGAGGGGTTCACCCTCCTACGCTTCGTTTCAAATGCAAAAAATATCTCATTAACTTGATGTATCAATGTACCAGTTCAGCAATGTTGCAAGTAGCAGTCTGGAAACACTTTAGTAACACTCAAGTGTTCCAAGTAGCACTCTGGGAACACTTTAGTAACACTCAAGTGTTGCAAGTAACACTCTGGGAACACTTTAGTAACACTCAAGTGTTGCAAGTAGCACTCTGGGAACACTTTATTAACACTCAAGTGTTGCAAGTAACACTCTGGGAACACTTTAGTAACACACAAGTGTTGCAAGTAACACTCTGGGAACACTTTAGTAACACTCAAGTGTTGCAAGTAACACTCTGGGAACACTTTAGTAACACACAAGTGTTGCAAGTAGCTCTCTGGGAACACTTTAGTAACACAAGTGTTGCAAGTAGCTCTCTGGGAACACTTTAGCAACAGTCTCAAGGCTGATGTAAAGGTTATTGAGGACGAACACCAACGCAGATGTCCTGACTACAGAGTGTGTCGTGTTGTTGGGCGGGTGCTGGGTGTCCTCTTCTTACTCCTGCTCCTCTTGCTGCTCCTCTTGCCCCTCTTCCTCCTCCATGCGTACCTATTAGTGATTATGTGTCAGTGAGCCCTCGAACCTGCCTGTTGCATTTTGCATTAGTCTGATGTTCCAAGTATTCGTTGTCTGGCCTTGACGATGAGGATGGAGGTGGCTTCCACAACTTCCTCCCTCAGAGCGTTCCACTTGTTGACCACCCGTGTAAGGTACAAGGATTTCCTAATATTTCTTCGACTGGAAGCACATCCAACTTCCAGTTGTGTCCTCAGGTCCTACTTAATCTCAATTTAAAGACCAGGGCCTCTTCCACCTTGTTTATTCTCCGCTGTATCTTGTATGTTGTTGTCATATCCGCTCTGTTAGTTCTCTCCTTCAGGAAGAGGACTTAATTAGATCCATGCTTCTTCCTTCTCTCTCGTTCTCATATTATCTTTGCCTCATGCTGATGTTAATGTATTGATCTTTGAGTTTCCTGAATAGATAACATGTTTGACTTCCTTGGCCCGTGTCCTCATCCTCTTCCTGCATGGGGGCGCCTGCGGGCGTGTCCTCATCCTCTTCCTGCATGGGGGCGCCTGGGAGCGTGTCCTCATCCTCTTCCTGCATGGAGGCGCCTGCGGGCGTGACCTCATCCTCTTCCTGCATGGGGGCGCCTGTGGGAGTGTCCTCCTCCTCTTCCTGCATGGGGGCGCCTGCGGGCGTGACCTCATCCTCTTCCTGCATGGGGGCGCCTGTGGGCGTGTCCTCCTCTTCCTGCATGGGTACGCCTGTGGGCGTGTCCTCCTCCTCTTCCTGCATGGGGGCGCCTGTGGGCGTGTCCTCCTCTTCCTGCATGGGGACGCCTGTGGGCGTGTCCTCCTCTTCCTGCATGGGGGCGCCTGTGGGCGTGTCCTCTTCCTGCATGGGGACGCCTGTGGGCGTGTCCTCCTCCTCTTCCTGCATGGGGGCGCCTGTGGACGTGTCCTCCTCTTCCTGCATGGGGACGCGTGGGCGTGTCCTCCTCCTCTTCCTGCATGGGGACGCCTGCGGGCGTGACCTCATCCTCTTCCTGCATGGGGGCGCCTGCGGGCGTGTCCTCCTCCTCTTCCTGCATGGGGGCGCCTGTGGGCGTGTCCTCCTCCTCTTCCTGCATGGGGCGCCCGCGGGCGTGAACATTAGAACACTACTAAAATCCTTGAGAGTCTCTGCCTACTTAAGACGCAATATCAGCGGCGTATAAAACATTCCTCAGTAACTGAGTTAGAATAACAACGACAACTATAGAATTCTTAAGTGAATATTCACTTAGCGCCTTCTGGATGGCGCTTCTGTAATGACTGGTAAATATGACATTATTTATGACATTGGGACTCATTCTTGACATTATATTAATTTAAGAATATTAAGTAAGTCCCAGCTGTGTTTGGGTACAGGTGGATGAGTAACCCAGCTGTGTTTGGGTACAGGTGGATGAGTAACCCAGCTGTGTTTAGGTACAGGTGGATGAGTAACCCAGCTGTGTTTGGGTACAAGTGGCTGAGTGAGTAACCCAGCTGTGTTTGGGTACAGGTGGATGAGTAACCCAGCTGTGTTTGGGTACAAGTGGCTGAGTGAGTAACCCAGCTGTGTTTGGGTACAGGTGGATGAGTAACCCAGCTGTGTTTGGGTACAAGTGGCTGAGTAACCCAGCTGTGTTTGGGTACAGGTGGATGAGTAACCCAGCTGTGTTTGGGTACAAGTGGCTGAGTGAGTAACCCAGCTGTGTTTGGGTATAGGTAGATGAGTAATCCAGCTGTGTTTGGGTACAAGTGGATGAGTAACCCAGCTGTGTCTGGGCACAAGTGGCTGGATGAGCAGCAGAGCACAGTGACTTCATACAAAGGGTTGGTGCACCGCCAGGGTACTATATGACCGTGTTTTCACTCACAGGATGAGTGACGTTGCCCAATACCGTCACTATGACGGTATGTTAGTAGTGTAAACCGGGCCAGAAGCCTGCAGTTGTTATATGTTGGGCTGCAGGCTTCTGGACCCTGAATTTTGTCCATAAACATCAGTGACCGCAGGCTTCTGGCCCCTGAATTTTTCCCTTGGTAATTAAACAGCACTCTCCCGTCATCCCTAAATTTAGTTACCTCGGTGATGCACGCTTCCATGCAAAGTGTTGTTTTTGCATCAGCCTAACAGCCCTGACCCTAACTTATGATACCAAGATCTTGGTTGAATATTGCATCTCATTCTTGGCCATGTTTGTTTTTAGGGCATTGGTTTAACATTAATACAACCAACCCATGTCAACTTAACGTCTTTTACCTGGGTTAATGGAAATGTGCTATTATTGGGCATTTTCTCAACATCAGTTCAGCTTATCCAAGCTTAAACTAACCTCATATACCTGAATCTGGACTCCATTTTACATCGTAGTCTTACGAAAGTGATAAAATTCACCATATCTATTCAATTTACATAATCCAATTTTCCTTAACCTAGGAAAAGAAACCTCGTTCTTAACCTAGAAAAAAAAAGAGTGAAAAAAAGAGAAACAAGAAAAAATATATATAAATATTTCGTTGAAAACGACAGAAGGTTTTAGATTTATGATTCTAGCACGAATCTTCTCGACATTCCTTTTGTTTTTCTTCACAGAAGCAGGTAGTTGAAAAATTAACTCCCCAAAGTTAATTTTTATTTTTTTATGAAAAACATAATGTAAACAGAAGAACATAAGATATTCCAGAAGAACATAAGCTGCCAACATGTCCCACTCTATGTTGATACATTTAAATCCTAATTAATATCCCCATGTAATGTCATTCATCAATATATCACCTAACCACCTCACCATAAGAGGATATAACCACGTGCTAAGCACAGTAGAATTAGCACCTGACAATTCGCAAACAGAGAAGCAAGAGTGAAACTTCATGGCAGTCTCTGAGTACAAAAGACATGAAAATGGTACACCGCAAGGAGGCATTCTCAGCCCCCTTCTCATCAACTGTTTAATGGAAAGAATAATGAGACTGAAACTCCCACAACACTGCAGGCTGCTAAACTACGCTGAAGACTTTATCATCATCATAAAAGGAAGGGACGCGGCGCGCCTTGCACCCAAATGCATCAGTGAAGAGGTAAAGCAGATTGGTATCAAACTCAACCCTACTAAGACAAAAGCCATGCCTATAAAAATAGTGAAGCCCAACATCCAACTCTCACAGATTAAGGAGCAAATCAAGAAGAAAATATTTTCAACTATCAAAAGTCGCCACAGAGCCAAAGTAACGGAAGGAAGATCCACTGCGATATGGTCCGAACAAGCCACTGGGTACTACTCTTTCAAGCCTGACAAAAAGATATCTACAGACATTGCAGTAGCCATACACAGACTCAGACTTGGTTACAAATGCTGATGGGAGGTAATAAACCCAATAGTTACAGAGTGTCATATCTGTGGAACAGAAGCAGAGGCGCCACTATTGCACTACTTACTGGAATGTGAAGCTACTGAAGCCCTGCACATCAAACTCTAACATTAATCCAACGACAGCAGCTGCATTAGATGCACATTTCACAGCGACTACAATGATTAGAAAAGCCGTTGAAGAATGGGACTCACTAGTGAACATTCTGCACCTACACCCGCCACCAAGATAATGTTATTAAAACAAGACTAAAACAGAAGCGAAAAAGAAACAGGGAAAAAGGAGGAAACCTCACCTCCATATAATACTTTGACCCAAATATTAGAGTAACCAGGTTATCGCGAATAATCGAACTCAATTACGGGCTCACCATATTCCGTGCTACATGAACATTTCGTTCATGTAGCACGAAATCTAAATCTAAAACAACTAAATCTAAATCTAAATCTGTAAAACTAAAACAACAACAACAACAACATCCAACTCACAGTACAGGGTCAACCAATTGAATGGGTGGACACTTATTAGTATTTAGAAATAATCCTGGACATACACATAAATTTTAATGCTGAGGTTATTTACTTGAGAGAGAGTACTGCGGCCCGGACTGCAATCCTCACTAACCTCCCTCTCTGGAGGAGCCAACCTGCAAGTCCTTCGCACATACTATATACAGGCAGTCAGATCAGTGATCGACTATGCCGCACCTGCACTCACAAGTCTATCACAACAACAGCGGAAAAAGCTTGAAGTTGCCCAAAACAATGCTATGAGAGCTGCCCTGGGAGCCCCGATGTGGACCAGGCTTGAAACTCTAAGACTGGAAACTAGTTTGCTCTCTCTTCAAGAAAGAATATCTCAAAGAACAGCTACGATAATCAGTAAGATAATTATTTCCTCTGATCCAGTCCCAGTATGACAGGCCTTGGTGGTTGGGCTTTGCAAAAACAACAGAAACTCTTGGGCTGCCAGAGCCGGAAATGTCCTTAACAGATTACAATTAAAAATCATGATTCGTGATAGAGAGGGAGATCAACTACACTTGTTCCCCACAGTGGGAGGAGCCTACCTTCAAAATAGTAATAGAAAGTCTTCCGATGAAAAAGGTTGCCTATGATCCAACAGTCCTAACCCGCCAAACACACACCGAAACTACGACGTTGGTACAACGTTCGGACAAGTTTTAACACCTCCTAACCAGTTATAACAACCAATATAGCAAGTTGTAACAACGTTCTAATACGTCATAAACACGTTAAGCCAAGATGTAACAACTTTATTACAAGTTGTAACAAGCGGAAAATAGAGACAGTTTCGGTTTGTGTTTCCAGGGAAGGCGCATCATAGAAAAAGCAAATGTGCAGGAGCCGCCCACATCTTCACAGACAGATTGGTTGACACAGAATATGATATGAGAGATATGAGTGATGGCACTGCTCTTTGCATGGACAGTGAACAAGCATATTGAAGACTGGGAGGACTAGTATCATCAACCCAAACTGAGCTGTTTGCCAACAACAGGCATTCTCATATGTGATTGCACAAAACACTCAAATGCTATCATACACACAGACTCAAAAGCTGTACTTCAAATACTAGGACAAAAACAGTGGAAAGACAACGTGGAAATAATTACCACCATTTTCTATCTTGGAACAGTCGCTAAAGGCAAAAGTCTCAACATCACCCAAAACCGGGTCCCATCCCATGTTGGAATCTCATTAAATGAGAAAGTCGATGAAATTGCTAAGTTAGCAACTCGTCATCCAGTGATTCCACAAAACAATCCAACCCAGCCAAGAATACATAAAAACATTATTTATATACATGTATACATACATATATATACATACATACATACATACATACATATACATACATATATATACACATATATATATATATATATATATATATATATATATATATATATATATATATATATATATATATATATATATATATATATATGTCGTACCTAATAGCCAGAACGCACTTCTCAGCCTACTATTCAAGGCCCGATTTGCCTAATAAGCCAAGTTTTCATGAATTAATGTTTTTTCGTCTACCTAACCTACCTAACCTAACCTAACCTAGCTTTTTTTGGCTACCTAACCTAACCTTACCTATAAATATAGGTTAGGTTAGGTTAGGTAGGGTTGGTTAGGTTCGGTCATATATCTACGTTAATTTTAACTCCAATAAAAAAAAATTGACCTCATACATAGAGAAAAGGGTTGCTTTATCATTTCATTAGAAAAAAATTATAGTAAATATTTAATTCAGGAAAACTTGGCTTATTAGGCAAATCGGGCCTTGAATAGTAGGCTGAGAAGTGAGTTCTGGCTACTAGGTACGACATATATATATATATATATATATATATATATATATATATATATATATATATATATATATATATATATGACAATGTCAGACCACGGAGGAAAAATGAAACAGGAAATTTCCTTAAGTACTTTCGTATATTAAATACATCTTAAGAAGGACCTTCTGAAGATGTATTTAATATACGAAAGTACTTAAGGAAATTTCCTGTTTCATTTTTCCTCCGTGGTC